CTGAGTTAGGTGCCATCTTAACAAATTCATCTGTAAATATCAAATTAAAAAACAAAAACAATTTAAAAAGAATATTGATGTTTGAAATGCACAGTATTGTGCATGTCCATATTTTAAACCTTGCGCTTAGCTAAATCCAATCTCAACCCTTTTTATTTTACAAAATGTTAATCAAGAATTGTGCGATGCACAGACTTAGTGAAGTGAAATTGAAGTAAATTGAGGCTTCTGATATTAGAATTAAAGCTCATATTTAATATATACATTAAAATTAACAAAAATATAATTTCACACAAAAGTTATGATGCACTCTTCCATTTTCTCCAACTAGCTTTACTTTGAAAGATATCCTTTTTTTAATCTCTCATTTATTATCAATTTTTGAACTAAGGTACCGTTTTGAATAGAATGGATTGGCAAAACATAATTCATATAATCGGCCTCATATAATTGAGATAAAGCATGAATGATAAAAAAGTAATAAAAAATATATAATATTTATATTTATCATATATGATATTAGCTTGCATCCAATCAAGATAACTCAAATAAACTCGACTTTAGTTAAGATAGGCCAAATTTAGGATCAAGGTTCACTTGAATCAATAACTACACTTTTATTTATTTATTGGTAGAAAGCTGAAAGCATGAGTAAAATTCATCAATGAGACAAGCTAGCTTAGCTCATTTAGTAGGGCCAGAAACAATTCTGATTCGAAACGCATGTGTCATGATCCTAAGTCCAATCCATTAATAATGTTCATATAACTTTGATATCTCAGTGAAAATACATCATTCCTAGCATGAGTGTATTATTAAATTAAATATCAGTGTTTTAGAACCGTCATTGACGGTGATGGTCGGGCCATTCTGCTCGAAAACTATCCACGCAATCAGTTTCACCCTTAACCTTTTTTTTTTTTTTTTTGGCCAAAATCCGTCAGTTTGGTCAGCAACCTGCTGATCCAATGATCGAACCGTCCATTTAAACCGGATGGTTAAAACTACTGGCCAAATAATTTCAGTTCCGAATCGATTTTTAAAACCTTGCTAAATACATATTAGATGAGTGATAGCGTCCTCATCATTAAAAAATAAGAATAACAAGATTAGTTGTCAATACATATAACTTGGGGGGGTATTTTTATTTTTTAAACAACACTAACGTCGGCATAAAAATATAATTCAAGTTATACCGTCTTGATCTTTCATTTAACATTTTTAATACAATTTTCCATTTTTAATTTTAGATCATCGTCATCTACTCATCATTCCGTACAGTCATAGCCTAAAGATTTATGCCTTCACCAAAAAATACTTAAAAATAATAATTACCTATCGAGAGCCGTGACGAAGTACTCTCTCGAGGACTTATCAATATTAGAAGGTTGGAACTTTTCATTAGTGCTTTCTTTGTTTGGTTTAAAGGTAGGAATTTTATATTGGCGGGTCTTATTCGAATCTTTGCATCTGCTGGTTTCTGGCTTCAAAGTGATATCATATGCCATTAGGCTTTTTTTGTTTTTTTTTGTTTTTTGTTTTTTTTTCTGGGGGGTTTAATTATGATGCCGAAAAAACTTGTAACCAGTCAAACAGGTATAAAATGGTAGCCAATAAGGTAGTATTTATCAAAATTCACGGCTGGTTTTGATTGATCAAAACCCTTTTTAAGGAACTATTAGCTTAGCCCAAGGTAACCCAGTAAGTCTTCGTTCAAACAAGTGAATACTATTTTGTTTAAAAACAATTTTATAAAATAGTTGGATAGGGTATTGGATAGTTAAAAAATATGTCCGAAAGATGAATATGGAAGAAACGTGAATGTTTAGAAATGGATGAGTGATAAAATTAGAAAAGACATGATTTTATAAGAAGTCATAAGAATGAACATAGAAATGATTTCGATAAGTGATAAAATTAGGAAAGAAATAGATTGAGATGATCTAATCACATGCATAAAAAGATCATTTACAACTAGAAGAAAAAATGATCTGTTATATGTGAACAAAGTGGAAGAGGTAAAGACAAGTGAAAGGCTTGGGAGGAAGTAATAGAAAGCGATTTAAAAGAACGTTAATTATGGATATAGCACTAAACAGAACGTCATGGTAAAACAAGTTAATGTAGCCGACTCGACCCTATATAATTGGAACAGGGCTTAGATGATGATGCTGAAGCTTTTCCTGAAGAATTTTTTGTTGTGTTTAGTTCTTGGGAAGGTTGCACTGGAAGACAAGGCAATTAGGTTTGGAGATATCTCACAGACTCATAATACAAGTGTATGGGTTATAAAATGAAATTTGGAAAGATGATTTCTATATAATATAGCATTAATTTGAAGGAAATTAAGACATCGCTGTTTATATTAAAAAAAAAAACAGCCTTAAACTATATCAAACAGATTAAAGTTCAGAAAAAAAAAAAGTAAACTAGGTCAGCAAAATGATTTCCCCCTTTTAACTATTCTATTTTAATATACAATGAAATAATAAATAAAGAACTCTTACATAATTAAATAAAAAATTATATTCATATAATCACCATTATTTTTTTTTTGCCAATTTGCACCTTTTTTTTTTTAAGTTGTAATGGCTGTTGGATAACCAGTGAAGTAGCTTAATTGAATGACTTTTTAAGTAGATGGTGACCTCCTTAATGGCTGATTGGCATACTGAGTTGATATTAATACCCATATGAATATTTTATCCACTAAAAGTCAAAGCAATAGCTAATGAGCTTTTCTTTCTTGGTCCAACCACTTCAGTTTTTAGTGTGCAGTACTTCCCTCATCTGCACCTGGACTGAGTGTAATTGTAAAAGTTTTAAATTTTAGCAATTTGGGTAAAATCACTAAGAAATTAATTATTTAAATACCAATAATTTAGCAATGGATATGGTATTAAATAGAATAGGCTTATTCATAATGATATTCTAAATTTTTTATCTGAATAATTAGCCGAAATTCCTGAATATTTGTCAAACAAATTTACCATACATTTTATGGTTCGTGTTGATGATCTTCACCAGTTCACCTAATCAAACTTTCATATAGTTTCAGGGACATGAAAACCATGGTTGGGTAGAGTGGTCTGTCTGGTCATCAGCTCAACCTACGCTGCCTTCTTAAATCCTAACCTCCCAGTAGCAACAGTTAATTAGATGGCTTCTCCCTACAGCTTTAAATGTTTTTGATAATGTATGAACCAAAGACACAATTAATCAATGGAAGAAAAGGGGAAAAAAAAACAAAGAAAAGGTCGAGCGGTTGCTCTCAAACACATCTCATCCTTGCTCCAACTGATTGTGCTGTGGTGTCAAGACAGATTAAGATAGATGAGAGAGGTACAGAGTTTAGTAGGTCGGACCGTTGGAGAACCGGCATATTTTATTCGATTTAGGGCAAAGGATGGATAAAAAAAAGGAGAGAAAAGAACGATAAAGACAAAGAAGAAAGAATGGTTTTGATTAATAAATTCTGTGCTCCAGAAACTTCTCCAAGAAAAAAAAAAAAAAAAAACCTTAATTGTGAAAATTCATACACATGCAGGATTTACGTGGTAGAGATCAAATTCAGATCAGCACATTGATACTTTTACCCTCACTTTCTTAACCTCGTGCATGTTTCACATCAGAAACGGAGGGTAAAACCGTAAAGTTGAAAGTGAAAGACCATGACATGAAATCTTAACATTACGCTGAAAGATTCCTCGGTCCTCGCTTTGGGTGCCTACTTGCCCACCCATCTGGACATCTGGCTTGGTGTCGGTCTGCCTCAAGTCCCTCAACTTCGTCTCAGAATTGGATCAATCCGCTCACCCAGTCCGATTTTGCCAGGTGTCCATCGGTCATCGCCCCATCCCAAACCCAGACTAAGCTGACCACCACATGTGAGATCTGAGATGGCCCCGCCTCAGGCTGACAGCCTCGAATTTTATTAACAATGTTTTTTGGTATTATTTCTGGCCGTGTTTGGAGGACTTTGGAGATTGAACTTCGGATAAATAACTAAAATGAATTTGAATTTATATTCGTTTGTGGAACACGGTCATCAAACACTGCACCAACCTAATGCATCACCATTTGTTTAACATTGCTCCATTAATGATTCTCACGTCAAGCCACATCGAAACTGACATTTCGAATATTAACATATTCCATTGTCTGTGTGGACATAATGTATCAGCAGATCTGCTCTGAGATCGTGATTTGTTTAGATTTCAAATTGTTTTTTATCAAAATAAAATGAATTCGAACACTAAGATTCCACATCTGGATATGGGCTCCTTGAAAGTAAAAATGTATCTACGGCAGATTATTAATTATATACATGTTGGCTAAAGAAATCATCAAATCTCATGATTCTATAGATCTACCTGAGTCGTGGTTCAAATAGATTTCAAAGTACAAGATTCCATTTTCAGTCATGAGCCCATTTATTGCTACACTAAGCTCTAAGCACCACGTTCTTATTGTTAATGTATTGGTTTAACAAAATATAACCACAAGCCTACCAGACTAACGGCCCTGTTCTTTCTTTAATTTCTTTGTTTCCTCGACCAAAAAAAAAAAAAAAAAACATTTTGGAATTGACGTCCAACAGGATGAACCAAAGGACCTTAGAAATTGGCTAAAATGGTGTTTTTAATTGAGCAGAGTCGTGGTGGTTGAGTCAGGTATGATTTGGTATACTTAACAACAACATGCGTAAATCTCACGCCCATCAATTCAATACTCTTTTGCAGAGGAAAACAAGATTTGGTTTCAAAACTCTTGTTTTCTCGAATTTCAATGATTTGATTCAGGACCGATTTCTTAAATCTTAACAAGCTCGTGAGCAGTGAGCTTCCCCAACATAAAAATACCGGAATTAAACTAAATTATGACCAGGATCTTAGGATGGGCTGATGATGGCCTAGAACTGCACCAGAGCTTGGTATTGGACGAGGATGCAGCCAAATTCAATTTGGCTGATTTTTCTCCCACTCGTATTGCTCAGATGATAGAAAATTCCTACTAACAAATTCATTCATTCCAAAATTTATTTATGCTATCTAGTCTCTCTATACATTACACAACCCTGAACAGGGTGAACAATGAAAACCAATAATCCCACCATTAAAACTGTACATATTAGCCTCCCTGTTCTGGGTATCTCGCCTCAGATATCGCCGTCGACAATACACTCGGAATTTCGAATCCATTAAGTCTCGGATTGTTCCTTTTCCCTTCCTTAAAAAATCTAAGAATTAACAAATAACACAAGCATTTGGATTCTCTTCCACACTCTGGACATAGTAGTGAGTGGTCATGTGGGGATTATAAGCCTGGTAGGCCTTGACCAGGTTCTGGATCTGCTGCTCTACAGGATCTTTCTTGGGTTCTTTCTTGGGTTCTTCCTTCTTGGGTTCCTCCTTCTTGGGCTCCTCTTTCTTGGGCTCCTCTTTCTTCTTCTCAGGCTCTTTCGCAGGCCCTACAGAAACTATATCCGTGTGCCAGAGTTTGCGTAGCTTGCTCACCACGTCTACGGGATCCACGTCTCCGACGACTGTCAGTTTCTTCTCTTTCATGTCCATGGCGATGGAATCAATTCCTATAAATTCATAAAGGTGAAAAACGCAACAGTTATTTCGATAGCTTCAGGCTATTTTTTCTCTCAAAACTGAGATTTCTTACTTCAGTTCAATAAGAAAACAGGTAAAGATCATCTTGATACCTGCAAGGCTAGAGACTGCCTTCATGGCCTTCTGCTTGGCCTTGTCATCATGTAAATCCAACTTCAGCACCACCTTCTGTATCAATTAAAAAAAACGAACAAAAAAGTCTCAGTTAAGATCAAATCAAACTCCTGATGCAATCAAAGTTTCTGAAACTCCCACTGAATCAGAACAAAATGAAGTCCAACAAGAATAAGGAATCAAAGAATCGGATTTCATCGTCTGAAAAAGTTCTGAAAAACCAAAACTTATAAAGTGGATATCCAGTACGATTCCGAAAGAGCCCCAAAAGCAAAAAGAGGTAAAAGTGAAACATTTCCCGACAGCAATAATCTGAGCTTCTCAAAGAACACACACTCAACAAAACATCGCATGAATTCCAAAATTAATCGCCGAAAGAAAGAACCCCCACCCTTTCCAGAAAAATGGGAAGAAAAGGAGGAAAGAAGAAAACCATCCAAAAAAAATCATGAGATTCCTCAAGAAACAATTCAAAAGCCCCACGAAAAATCCACAAATCTACCTGCCCACAAGCCAAATCCCATCACACAGGAAAAAAGAAATATTCAGACCCCAGAAACATTAATGCTTATAATAAACAATCAAACTAAGAAATTAAAGCGAATCAGGACTGAAAAGAGATATCTGACCTTCATGTTTTCGGAACTTCAGTGATTTGACCAGGAAATGAGACGGTAATTGCAGAACGAAGATTGAAAAACAATAAATATTAAGCACAGAATAAGAAATCAGGAACTAAGACGTAGACGAGAAGAAGAAGACAACGACGACAAAGAGAAGCCTGAGCCGAGGCGGATGGCTTGCTGAACCAGCGATATATAATAGACGGGTTTGGAAAGGAGAAGAAAACTCAGTCAACGGAGCTGATTGACGGAGAGAGAGAGAGAGAGAGAGAGAGAGAGAGAGAGATGGAGAGAAGAGCAGCACACAGTGATTCAGTGAATCTAAGGCAGTTTCTACGAAGACACGGCAAGGCAGGCAACTTATGTATAGTCGTGCCCGTACATTATATATGGATGGAAGCGGTGAAGAAGCTCTCTCGAACACTTAACCATCCCGAGTCCCTCTTTTTTGACACCCTCTCACTCCTCCATCAGGCCGCCAGTCAAGTTTCCATATTTTGTTCCTTGACCTAATGGTCAAGTCACCCTTCTGTTTCACTGTGACGCGCATTTAGTATAAACTAAGATCGTCCTACATCTAAGCCGTTAGATCTCACAAAAAACTTGTATTATTGACAAAAACGAGGCCCCACACACTATAGGAACTTTGGACGGTTGCGGCTTTACACGTCATGCATTAGCGGATAACATAGATGACAGATTGAGCGAGGAGGGAAAGAGAAATTTGGAATTGTGGTTTTGGACTTCTTTTGATATCGACCGTCCGATGGGCCTTAGATTGATAGATGGGGTTGGATGTGATCTGAGAGGGACCAGAGAGGGTCACATTCTGGCACAGTTGCGTTGCGCTTCGATTCGTGGAACTGGAGCAGACGTCCTTTCTCTGAGATGTCAGCACGTAAGCTGTACCGTGCACGTGGAGACGTTGAGTCTCCTGTGGTGGAGAGATTTTTCACGAGCATTTCCGTAAGGCAGCGTTTGTTTCTGTCTGAAGAAAATGGACGAAATAAAAAGCAAAACATTAGCCGTAAAAGAGGTGGAAATTTGAAATATTTTAAACTTATTTTTCTGGTGACAAATTAACCGTGTATCGGTATCTTGGTGAACTATGAGTCTACGATGCACGTAAAGAAGTATTTTGCCACGTGGCTAACTCGGGAAAACCAGAAAAGGACTAACCAGCACTTCCTTCTGAAGTCTTCCTTTTCCCAGATTGATTAACGAAAAAGCCATCGACTAGTCGACTGGCAGTGGTAGCCATTCGAGGTTCATGTGCTGTAGAAGGAGAACAGACACCGGAGACTATCTCAGCCTCAGCCCTCAGGTGGCCGTTGTTGATGCCTTGATACCGATGAAGAAATAAAAATCCAAATATTATTTTATTTTTATATCTTGATCCGATAAGTTGGTCCTGGAGCTCCATCATATCGTTGGAGACAAAACTCTTGCAGAGGTTTGTCGTAGGCGGATGTAGCCTTTTTTTCGTTCCCTGTATGCGTCCACCGCCCCTGGAAAGTGAAAAGTGAAAACCCTGGACTACCAGTCTACCAATAATTCAGTGAAAGAGAAGGGTGTCCCATCCTCTCTTACCAATGATACGTCCACAAGCGGATGATCCAGAGTTCGGACTAGGGGGTGTTAATGGGTCGGGTTAAAGTAAACCAAGGTTGATAATCTGAACCTATGAGATCGTGTTTGGGAGTATGGTTGGTTCAGGATATTTTATGCTTTTGGTCCATGTCGGGTTTGGGTTTCATTATCTTGACCCGCCAGGAGCCTTTTTTTTTTATACTTTTCTCCACATCTAAATAAAAATGTCCTCAAAAGCCATGCTGAGATAGAATACCAAGTACCTTGTACATTGTACTTTGGCTTTGGGGCAGTGATACTTGAGGGACTCAACTTTCAATTACATACAACAATTTTAGTAGGGTGAACATGGGTCCGTTCCGTTTGGTTTCACCACAGAACTTGGAATCAAACTTGTAGGGATCGGCTTCAAGTATTTGAATCCATAATTTATCTTGTGAAGATCGGTTTCAGGATTGATTTTGATTTTGGCGATTTCGATGTTGGTTTCAGGGTCTTTCCTTGGAATCTGTTTTTTCTTTATTCTCTCACTAAAAAAAATGAAATTAGTTATTTAAAAACTTTATTTTCAATAAATATAATATATAGTTTATAACTTAATATTTTTATTGATTAAATTGAGTAATTTAATATATAAATTATCATAATTAATATGTAGTTTATAATTTATCATCATAATTTAGGTGTTGTTTGGATGGACTTCTACTTTTGTATTTTTAAAAATAGCAAAGTATAAAATACTTTTATTTTGGTTTTTTTTTTTTGAAAACCATTTGAGTAAAAAATTTGAAAAGTATCTTCCAAAACAAAAAGTATCATTTTCCGTTTGGCAAAAGCACGTCTGTTTGTACTTTCAGTGGTTTCGGGGTCTAAGACCGGTGACAGTAGTCCAACTCTAGCAATGGTGAGTCAAGGTATGGTCGAGACTTTTATTGAAGGGTGGTCAAGTGTGACCACCCGTTCGCATGAAAACGAAAGCACAATTTTGCCAAAAAGCATGAAGTATAAAAAGCTGACTTCATGCTTTAGGGTTTTTTCATACTTTTAAAAGTATGAAAGCAAAAGGTATAAAGTACATAACCCATACGCTATGTTGTGTTTTTCGTACTTTTATACTTTCATAAGTACGAAAGTACTTTATAATAGTCTTTCCAAACAGGGCCTTAAATTTTGTAAATATTATATTTTTTACATTACTTGTTGTACACACTCAAATATTAAAATAAAAACAAATGATCAAATCACTTAGGCTATGTTTGGTTTGAGGGAAAAGGTAAGAAAACCTATACAAGATTTGTAAAGGTTTTTCCATCTTTCCTTTTCTTTCACTACTTTTTCTTTCAAACCAAACACAGCCTTAAGTAATTCAATGGCCAAGTGACACCATGGCCTTTATAACAATAAGTGCTTGGGTTCAAATCATCATTTCCTCAAAAGTATTTTGTGGTTTATTTCAAGACAACTTTGGTTCCAAGATTAGTTCCACTAAGGCCAATTTATCGGGTCAGTTTGGATAGGGTAAACCCTTAAACCCTAATTCCAAGAATTTGGAATCAACCTTACCATATAACAGATTGGATACGGTTGGTTAGAGGCATGTTCCAGGTCTATTCCATTAAGTTCCAAGTAGAACCTACCCTTTATGCTCACCCCTACAATTTAGTATCATAAATGTTCATACATATGAACTATGCTCATGTTCAGGTTCTCTTTTCCATTTACTTTTATCTTTGGATGCAAATAGTGATGGGTGATGCATTTGTATGGGCACAGAAACCAACATGTAAGCATTGCTCAATGTTCATCCATCCTCATCGTGTTGAGGCTTCACTAGAGAATTCCTATTTCCAAATATTTTTACTCAGGCTTAGTTTGTAAGGAGTAGGAATACAGAGCCTTAGGAGTGCAAAATACATATTTGTATTTATACTACTCCTTCCAAACTGAGCCTTAGGTGTAGACTTCAATTGTTTTGTTATTTTGTGAATTGACCTCCTTTTATGCTACCCTTGAATTGTGTTCGAAGGTAGCAAAAGAGAAATAGTAAAAGAAAGGGAATTTAAATATAGGAATTTTAGTAATTTTTACTTTCATCGTAAGGTCAATCAATGAAATTAAACTAAACTGTATATTTCTAAAATTTCAAAATACTAAAATGTCGCACATGAAAGTTTAGACCCTTAAGGCTATGTTTGGTTTAAAAGAAAAGGTAGGGAAAGGAAAGAAAAGACAAAGAAACCAATACAAGTATTGTAAAGGTGTTTCTATGTCTTTTTCTACATTTTTCTTCAAACCAAGCATAACCTAAATGTCACTAGCCCAAAAGTTGTAATTATGGATCCGGTCAAATTAGAGTGGCTGAATGGGAGTAAACCCATACCGAACCTGATCCACTAACCATAACCCGGACCCCAGACCGTGTTGTACCATCCAAACCCGATCTTACCAAATGGAAAAGGGCAGATCGAACAGTTAGGAGGAGAGACTACTACTACTACATCCCATTTCAGCAAATTTATTCCTTTGTCTGGAACCTGAGACCTACTAGCCATATGGGAGTGGATGCCAACAGCCACCCTTGTAATGGTAGATTAATCCCCATCTTACTTTTGGGTGGTACTGGTCCGTTTGACCATGGAAAGTTAGGTTGCAATCCAATCCAAGCTAGTACAATATGAGAACTAGTTTGTTGAATTTCTCCAACGACATGATAACCTATATTGGAGCTAAAATCTAAGTTCTGTTTTTCCCTCTCCTATCATGTAAAGAAAAAAGTGTTTCAAAAGATTTTTCCCTGCACTCAAAATAGATCCTCTTTTATGGGTAACGTTTTACATTAATTGGTTAGGTAAAATACTCGTAATGGTTTATTGGGTCTCTGTCATTCAGGAGATTAAACCCTAATATAAGCTTACATAGCATAGGGTTGATGTAAACTATGAATTGGAAGCAGATAAACCAATCCCTTGAATCATTCCATTCCACGTCAAATCAATAGGTAGAATCTGGCAGGGAAGCTCTCTAGGCTCTATTTGGGAAGAGGGCAAGTACGAATATATTCAATGCAAAACTTATATGATCCATATTTATATTTGCAATCTTTGAAGGGATTCTGAGGTTCAGTTTGGGAAGAATGTAAATACAAAAATGTGCATTGCAAATATATAGGATTTTACACATATTTGTATTTGCACTTTTTTCAAACACAACATTGGGCTCAATTTGGGAAGAGTATAAATATAAATACAAGGTTTCCAAACTTAATACACAGGGTTTGCACTGTATATGTTTGTATTTACATTCTTTTCAAATTGAACCAGAGTTTGGAAAGAATACAAATATAAATACGTAGAGCGCAAAACCTTATATTTTATATCATTTTGTATGTATTTATATTATATATATTTGTATTTGTATTCTTTCTAAATTGAGCAGTATAAATATAAATATGTACAGTATAAATACATACAAAATAATATAAAATATAAGGTTTGGCTCAGTTTAGAAGGAATATAAATACAAATATACACAATACAAAATATAAAGTTTTCCACTGTACATATTCTTTTCAAACTGAGTCTTAACAAAAAATTTTAACGTTGTTAAATCTGCACCTGATCCAATTATATAAATGGGTCATCCAAATCATACTTCAAGACTCCTTTCACAACCCTAACTAGAATATTTCCACTATTTTTTTCTTTTGTCGATATTAAAATGTACAGTCCCAAGAAAAAAGTGCAATATATCAATCAAAAAAACCAGAGAAAACCCACAAGCCTAATCAATCAATCCCATGAAATTCATTGTAGTGGTGCACTGGTAAGTAGCAGGGCCTGAGTTAGG